AGCACCTCTAGTAATATATTTACTGAGAAAAATGGTGACGTGTTCAATACTTATTTTACCCGCTGTATTAGTGACAAATTGTGGTGTTTTTTGACAAGTTACTTTCATTTTTGCTTCTACTTTTCATATAAAATACGTTTCCATTCTCAGCAGGTTTCTGAGGTTCTTCTTCTACATATTAAAAAAGTTGTTAAACATCTGAGTGGTGCACTACTGCTACTAGTGGTGAGAAAGTGTATTGCAGCTTATTCAAAACCAATGCCGTCCCACGGCCCTCTGCGGCCCAAAGTTAAAACCTGTTGTTCTTTTGAGGCCCTCAAGGTGGCGCTCGTGGCCCAATAGGTTAAGAATCTCTGCTTTAGAGAGACTTTTGCTAATTTAAATAAAGATTTTTAGTTAGCTAAAGGTTAGCTTTTGTTATCTTTAGCATTTCCTGTGTAAAAAACAAATATTTAGGATAGAAGAGATTCATGTTATAACCAAATACTGGCATAAGCATTTTTTATGCTGTACTTTGTGATACTGATTACTGATACTGTAATACAGGGGTTCTCAAATGTTTTGGGTCTGGGACACCTTACAAGGGCAAAAAAAACTCCAGGGACCCCCTCATTAACCCCATGCTGTCATTTCAACCCCTAAATGCCATGAGGATATATCTTTTTTATTTAGTTTATGTTTGTTTTATTAGTTCATTGCTCTCCATGCATTTTTTAAAATAAAAACAAAAATAAAAATGTAGTGATTTTTTGAGGACCCCCAAGATACCTCTCATGATCCCCTGGGGGTCCTGGGACCCCACTTTGAGAACATAAGTAATGATATTGCATGACAGTGTGTGAAAAAGACAAATAAAGCCCTGATGTGTGTTTCGTGTTTTCAGAGTGGTTTGTTTTTACTCTGTGTGTGTCCAGTTGGGTCTGCACAGCAGGAACGTCGCCCCCTACAGGCTTCTCCTGCTCCAGCTGCTGGCTCCTCAGCCTCAGCCAGTTCAGCAGCTCCTGCAGCGACATGTGGAGCCTCTTCCAGGGGGCCATCTCCGAGTCCAGCTGGGACCTAGAAGACAAACCGAAAAACCAAAAGGTGTCACCCAGAACTCAGAGCGAGTGTTTCTACAGCTTTATGTGAACTAGATCCTCAGTTCTGGCCCACCTCATGCTGAGGGTCTTGGTGCGTAGGTCACTCCAGCGCTGCCTCATGTTGTCCAGACGTCTATGGAGCAGAACCCGGTCCTCAGAGTCCCTCAGGGACGTCAGAATCCTCTGTCCATTCTCATCCAGGGAGTGATACAGCTCTTCGTGGCTGTCGATTTCAGCCTGCAGGTCCTGTTGGAACACAAACACAGTGTGCCCCCAGAGAGGAATGGTTGAAATGCTTTTCTCTTTGTTTGCAGTCCTACACAGAATTTACTGTTTCACAGCTTGGTTACAATATTCTGTTACAGATGTTTTTGTTTTTCCCCACAGCTTGTTACTGAAATGTTCAAACCAAAAACTTATCCCATCAAAGACTCCCCAGTACCTGTGTTACCCTGCACTGTAATCTACCAGGTCTTTATGCTCTGAAATCTGTTTTAAATTTAAAAATTCAAAACTTTGAGACTTCAGTCATTACAGGTAATGTATAATATTAACAAGAATACAGTGGAAAGTCACTTAACTATTGAAGTCTTGTTTACAGGATGTGGTTGGTGAAAACTACATTTCTTCCACCTGGGTAATGTGTAATCTTTGTTAAAATATTTGGCATCCAAGGCAGCAAGTTCTACTTTCATTAGACTTAATACTTGTACTTGATGCTGTGGTTGCTTTGAAGAGCAAACTTAAAACTTTCCTCTTTTATAAAGTCTTTAAACAATTCCAGTGTGTTGTCTGTTTTTTGGCAATTGTTTTATGATGTTGTTGATGTTTTATTGTTTTATTTTTTCTGTATAATTTTGCACCTTTGTAAAGCACTTTGTGACCGTCTATGTCGGTGAAAGGTGCTATATAAATTAGAGCTGCCACAAATGATTATTTTTATAGTCGATTAATCACCGATTATTTTTTTGACTAGTTGACTAATCAGATCATACGTTAAT